TTCAAAAATCCATTAAAAAGGCATTTAAATAAGAGAATTATAATAAAATATTTGCATGAAAATAAAAAAATGTAACGATTGCCTAAAAATGAAAAGGAACAAACAGATTGCTATCACTTTAAACAGTTTTAAAAATAACAGCGAAAGAATACATGTAACATGAAATAATAACCGTTGGTCACTTGGACAATAATCTAATTCTACCTGTATGATATCAAAAGGGAAAACTAAAAAAAATCATCCAACCTTTTATATGCAACAAAAAGAATCCTTTACCTGTGAGATAAATAAAATAATCAGGTCAGTGTCGGTTACAGGACAAAGCTCGACCAATCGAGCAGCCGGACCAAGTCCTAGAGTCGTCATATATGTAAAGAACGGTATAAAGATATGGAAAAAATTACTTCACGCACGATAAACGCGAGCCATCGCGAGTTCCTGGCCATTGGGGTGACACGCGAGAAGGAGGGGACGGGTTTGGACGAATAGCAAAAAATCACAAGGATCCTCAAAGGCATCCATAGAATCTGTGCCTAAAGGCAACGTCCTCGTAATGGACATTCGTTGGATTTACCTTCGTCTTCATTTTATGTCCACACTATATTCCAGCAGGCGTCCGTTAGAAGATCACACTCTGGTGGATTAAGGGTTCTTGGTTGCTGCCTAACTCGTAGTTGTGTAGTTGATACAGATTTGAATATTAATTCAAGGATCGCAAGCTGAAAGGATTGCTGGAGGGTGTAAATAAGTTTAAAGTTACCTAGAAGTGATTCCGATACTGTATATAACTTAATAGCTTCCTAAAATTAAAATACTTGAGGCTATTTTTCAAAATATTTGGTATTTAAATCATTTATACAGATTAACTTTCTAAAAATTATTCCTACATTTTATTATTAAATTCTTTTGATTAATGCACTAGCATTTTTGTTTTGGCAAATTCAAAATATTTAAAAGTCAAAATAATTAATTTTGTCATGGATAAAAAAGGTTTTTTAACCGTTTAAAAAGGATTGAAAAAAAATATTTAAATGTAAGAAGGATAGGATTGGCTGCTATAAAAATAAAAAAAAAAAAATAAAGTATTTAAAAACGGTGTTGTATTTATTTTGAAAAATAAAAATAATGACAGTACCGTTGTTAGTGGGGGCGGTTATGCCCTTCGGATTGACTTTATTTGTTAGCCAGGAAGTATTGTAATTATATCAGAATATAAAACTACAGTTATAAGCAAAAAAAAAAAAAGAAGCGAAATAATACAAAAATAGATGAGAAAATAATTTAAAATCCAGCATGGAATAATAACGGGATTTAGTCGAACCCTAAAATCCAAAATAAGAACCTATTATTTTTGTTTCTTTTTCTTCTTTTTTCCGCAACTAATAGGTATACATATACATTTTTTTGGAGAGCCAGTCACGAGAATAGACATATGGCTTACCACACGTAATCGGAGTAGAAATACCAACAAGAGAGATTTTTGGCTCAGATGGTCTGCTTACTGGTTCAAAAAGTATCTCGATCGATCTTTTGCGCAACTTACTTCTCAGAAAAACGTCCTCTGAATAAAATGGACGTCGGCCAACGACAAAGAAATAGCCGCTGGCCAAAGTAGAAAGTAATATTCCCGCGATCTGCTAGCTCAAGTGTGGGACTATGCGCTAGTACCGTCCAATATTATTAGAGTCCCTACAGCAAGTTCGTAGATTCGGCAATAATTCAATTAGTCGGGAGAATTTAGTGCGGTGGACGGCATTATTCAAGCGTGATGTACGCGAGCAAGCGTTGCCGGACGGGCATAAATTAACTTCCTCCTTCTCTTCTCTCATTTCTCTTTCTCTATCGTCTCTTGCTTTGGCATAAATTAGAAAGAACAATGCTTGCCTCAGAGTATACTCAGCCTTACTGCACTCCGCACACCCCATAGCAAGTGAGAGAAAAAAAACAGTTAAATGGACGTTGCAAATTTCAGTATCTGATGTATGAAATATGTGATCCGGCCACATCGTGGCCTCCTGAACAATTAGAATTGTCCGGCATCGTGGTGTTATACCTACCTATTCTCTAAGTGTTTTGAAGAAAGGGTAAAAGACCCGAAAGGGTCGCGCTTCAATTTCTGTGCGAACCGTTATATTACAATGTCTAAAGAAATTAAAACGCTCGGACAATTTTTAACTTGTGTATTATTACGTAAACTACCAGGATTACTTTACATTATTGCTATTTTTTATTTAAATTCACCTAGACAATGAGTCTTCAATAAATAATCATCAAATTCGATTCACACAACAGCATGAAATCTAAAATTTGCAGAAACATATTTTTTTTTAATCCCAAAAACATATTAATAATGCTAGAACTTCTAACTCTAGTCTTAAATAAGCATTTTCAAATAAAATAATCAACAATTACAGATTAATAATAGGTATAATAATGCTTGCAAAAAAAAATAATCAGATATTTATTGCTGTTAATAATAGAGTAACAACCGGGACTATATAATACAAGGAAAAAATATGACGTCGATCAAGTAGGTAATTGGAAGGTCCGAGGGCACACCGAGAGGTGTTTCCGAAAGACGAAAGGCAGAAAAACCGGTGCGGCCCGTGCCCAAGGAACTGATGGTCAACCCCGCCTGATCGGCTCGCGCTTCTTCAGTAGCTGTCTGACCAGGGTTATCCACGCACGATGACCGGGTCAGTCTTGGGGTCAGTGATGTCCGACCAATGACCTGCCCCGCCCTCCCTATACAATTATAAATGCATTAAACTCACCCCTTTACAAGATAATATTTAAATCGAGCCACGGTTTAAAATCGCACTGACCGACTGTCACTCTTATTGCATTTGCCCGAAAAGGGTTGCCACTCATACGCATTTTATTGCGTGTATTTTCACTTATAAATCCTCCAAGGGACACAGAGTAACCCCTTGGAGAGTTCTTTGTATATACAGACACATCGTAAGGGTCACTCGGATATGAAGACCCTTCTTCTTCTTCTTCTTCTGACGCTACTGCAGATCAACCTAAGAAAAAATGTCGAAGGGAAAAGAAAATAATGTACAAAGAGGGATACAACGACCTATGAAATCGGACAATGAGAAATTAGATACATGTTGCCGGACAGGGAACTTTAGTATGTGCAAACCGTAGTACTCAAGTCGTATCTCACTCATACCTACAACACATCTGACAGTAGTCTTTTTGACTATGAAAATTCGTTGGTACTATGTGGACTTGTCTATTCGTTATTTTCTGTTCCCAAGATATAATGCGACCTTTTCCACTTCTTCGTTACATGAATATATACGAATTATTCTGACACGTCATCCTTTTTAACTTTGCATTATTGGATTTATCGAAAAACCTCAATAAATTGTATCGCATTAACAGTATTTATTGAATATTTTTAGCATAAAACGTAGGGAGATGTTTTGTCGAGTCTATATAAATGTTTATTGATTAAATTTCCTATTATTTGTGTAGCTGAAATTCTTTATTGAATTGCTCGACAAACTGTTTTCTTTTTTAAGAAAAGTTTTTCTTTAATGCAAAGTGTTTATTCATATATTCAATATTTACTTTATTGAATCAATTTTTGTTTATTTAATTCTCAATAAAAAAACATCACATTGCAATTTTTATTCGATAAAAATTACTATTTAATTTATGCAATCAGTTTTAGATTGAAAAAAAATTATCATTAATTTCTCATATTAAAAAAATGTAGATATTGATAAGAATGATTGCAAATCAATGTTCACTCAATTTCTTATCTTTACATTTATTTTGCAAATGATAAATCAGTCCACTAACCCGGAAGAAATTTTTGGAGCCAGCTTTACTTTCCATATTCTTTTTTCATTGTCTTTACTACATCTAAGCAATTGAGATGCTCGTGGTTGAAAGAAAGATAAAAAATAAGAAAGTGCATGGATAAAGACCGGTCCGGTTGACCGAGTTTGAGAAGGGTCGTCTTCCGGGATAGGCATCATCCTCATGTTCCCAAAAATTACTGATTCTCTTTCAATGTATCATAATAACATCTTTGTCATGTCATTCGGATCAAGAACAAACGTTTTAAATTGGTACCATATGATGTAACAATTAATCTTCATAATTTGTGAATACAAAAATATCTTATTTTTTTCTTGAACGAGTTTCGTCTATTATGCGATGACTTTTTTGATTTAAAATAGACCTATTATTATCGATGATTCTAAACGAATGTATACCTATCAATTGTCATCAATTAAATCTATCGCTATGTTATTCTGCCGACGCTTTTATGTTGCTGAACTTTCAATAAAACTAATTGATTCGTTAAATTTGATCATTTGTAATCTAGTCAATTAATAATCAATTAGAAATTTTGAATGTTCAATTGATCAAGTCTAAAATGACTCACTTGAAAAAAATACTTGCTTAAAAAAAATTGTTTGCTCTGTAAACTTTATCATAGATAAATAATAATGAATAAAATCAATAGGTCATTTTGTCCATAAGAGGAGAAACCTTAAGAATGAGAATAACAAGTAAAATTGAAGACATAAATATTATGACGATTTCACTTGGACATAAATAATAATTGTAATTTATTTTAATGAAATTTTCGCGGATTAGTGAATGATAAGTAGCTCTGTTAGATCATTATTATTACAAATTTCATTAAAACTTTTGTTTGATTTATGTAGAAAATCTTCATTACATTTGGATGCAACATGATTCATCACATTTATTCAACTTCGTTATAAATTCTTTATTTCATATCAAAATCTATCTTTGCACAATAATCATGCAGTATTTATACTACGATAAATGAATGAGTATAACATTTTTGTAATTAAACATTTTGAATTCATATTTATTGCGCAGAATTTTCTAATACTGCTATCTATTAGTTGTTGAATGAATATTTTGAAAACTCAGTCGATATTCGTGGTGGAATCTACATTATCAGTATCAGTTAATTGACTCAATTCGTAACATTGTGCAATCCCCTCAGTAGCAGCTGACCATGTGCTAAATACAATTCAGTCTAAGATATTTTCGTCAAATCTCTTGAGAACTCGAAATTGAGGTGTTTCAGTTCTCGAAAAAAAATTATAACTTAAAATCAATCAGTCTCCAAATAATTGTCAGTAAAAAAAATTATTAAAAACTTGTTAAATGTGATGAAATATGTAAATATATGTGCAAGTGCTTGATCAATTGTTATATCATATTACTGAAACTTTGTAAGCGGGATTGTCTTAATTTTTAAACATTGAAGTGTCATTTCCTTTGACAGTTATCTCAATACTTAAAATAATTACAATGACATTAATTTAATAAACGCATGAATTTTAATTCTTAACAAATTTGTGCATTTATAATTAATACTTGCTCTTGCAATGCTTTGACAATATAACATTAACTACCTTCAATCACATCGTATAACCTTAAGTAGGACAAGTTACATTAATGATTCGTTTTTTGCTTTAAAAATCTAATTATTTCCAGGTTGAAAGAATTAACAAATAATGGGTAACACTTTTACAACTGCCACTGTGTTAGCTGCTGATACAATAGCAGCACCACCCTATGAACACGTGGATAAACCTAAGCATCATCATCAGCAATACGTCCATAAATCGTTTGATGCTAATCCACCTCCTGGATGTCCAATGCATAAACCAGAAGACACAAAGCCACCCCAATATGTCAGTGAATGTCCTATCGCTCATACTAGTACAGATGACGTGAATCCTTTGAATATGGTAAATATTTATTCTATTTTTATTCACGCAATCGTTATTTATCCTAAAATAAAATAAAATATATTTTTAGATGCCACCAGGAAACCAAAATCCATCACCTGGTCAACCTTTTCCTCTACCAACTCAAAGACAAGTGTCTTCTATTCCTAAAGCAACAGGAGAAGGAGAGTTTTGGGTTTATCCATCACAACAAATGTTTTGGAATGCAATGTTAAGAAAAGGATGGCGTTGGAAGAATGATGATATTCAACCAAAAGACATGGAAGATATTATCAAAATCCATAATGCTAATAATGAGCAAGCATGGTTGGAAGTACTCAAGTGGGAAGCGTTACATGCTAAAGAATGTGGAATGCCAAAATTGAAGAGTTTTGGAGGCAAAGCCCAAGATTATTCACCACGTGCTAGGATTCGTCATTGGATGGGGTAAGTTTGAAAGAAATTTTAACTTATATTCATAGATTATAATTGAAACAGTAAGCCATTAATAAATAAAACCATCAATTTTAGATATGAATTGCCTTTTGATCGACATGATTGGATAGTTGATCGATGTGGGAAAGAAGTGAGATACGTGATAGATTACTATGATGGAGGCGATGTTGATAAAAATTACAAATTTGCTCTACTTGATGTAAGGCCAGCGATGGATTCTTGGGAGAATATATGGGATCGTATGAAGGTAGCATATTGGCGTTGGAGATTCAGTGATTCTGTAAATGAAGATCAACAATCAACAGCGGGATCATCCTAATTCTTTACTAGCTAAATATTCATGTTGCATCAGTTACTGTAGTATTTATTTTATAGTAATTAGCTAACGACATTGTCAATTTTAAAGAATTTCAGAGTTAATTAAAACAAAATTTTGCTCAATATACTTTCAGTAATAAAATAAATCTATTCTATTTGTTTACTCAAAATGTAAATAGCTTTTTTTGTGCTAATAAGCATACTTTAAAAGATAATTTTTAACTTATATGATTCAACAATAAATGGATTAAGAAATGTTAATTAATATAATGAAATTATAATTTATTTCTTGAATTAACAATAAAATAATTTAAAACTATCACCATTATTTAGATAAACAATCAAACAAATAGATAATAAGTAAATAGATTACTTTACTTAACTTAAAAACAGATTCCAACAATTCCTTACTTTATTCATATTTTCTAAAAATTGATTATGCTCAATTATTTTTTAATTATTCGTATTGATCCATACATTCAACTATTTTTTAAATGATTAAAAATATATATACATAAAATGAACTTGTGAATAAAAATTATCATATTTTATTTGCATTTAGTTTTGAAGACTTAAGTTTCTAATGTTTTTACTATCACTTTCTGAAAATTACTTACAAATACTGCAGCGCATTATTTGAATAAAGTAATCGTTGTTAATTAATGATTGGTTAATGTTTTAATAATGCACTGGTATTATTATCACATGTCACATTTCGATAAAGGCTTTATTAAATATTATACCGGAATATTGATTAATATATAAACGAAACAAGTCATCAATGGAAAACAAAAAAATTTTTTTTCTTAAAATAAATGATGTGGTAAAAATCCAATACAATTATCTGATTGACATAAACATGGAATTTCACTGATATTATCTATAGATTTTTCGTTATCACCTCCATAATTAAATGTGATCTCTTCACCGATTTCTATGTCTCGACAGGCAAATAAACACAACCGAGGAGTTAATTTTTCAACCCGGACGGGTACAAGTTTAGCACTGGGTTGACAACTATGATTACAATAACGTCCAATATTACCTAAATACTTCGGATCTATACAAGTTGTCATTTTTTTATCACCTACATATTCAGAAACAATTAAAGTATAATTCATCTCTTTTTTCAATTTATTTTCCTCGACTCTACGTCGAGCTTCTTCAATTCCTATTATTTCCCCAGCATATTCACATATAAATTGATTTTTTTTAATATGTTTTGATGTTATAAGGCCAAACCCTTTATCCTCAGTCTTGATTATTTGTAAACAATCAAGTGGACCATGCTGAACTAATCTATTACCACAATTATTAGAACAAGAACATGTTGGATTACACTCTAGAATCAACTTGGATGATTTTTCTTCGTTGAATCGATTATTTATATAATTGACATGCTCCCTTACACAAGGACAATTTTGTAAGCATTGAATTTTACACATACAACCTACAGAAAATTCTGACTCAAATTCATCAATATTAATTCCTTTGCCTGGAATATTATTAGCTACGTACATTACGTTGCATATTGGATGCTCATATTCATCCTCTCTTCCACAACCAGTATCCATAATTAGTCCTTTTTTTAATTCAAAGACCGAAGATTTCCAGACAATACTTGAGCGATGAGCAGCAAAAAAGTAAGTAAAAAAGAAAAATTTTTTTCGTTGATCAAGAAAAAAGATAGTGCGTTAATAATAATACCAAGTAGATCGTTGATTCAAAATTTTGATATTTCCAAAGAATTCCTATCGATTAACACTGACCTTTACAAGCCCTTCCACCGATGACTTGAGTGATTGAAACGTTGCTCCTGATGGCAGTGGTAATAATTTGTAACCTGCGTATACTATTGCACCTATCAGTGATGCCCGGAAAGTTATTCGAAGAATTTTCACTGACAGTGATTGAGGAGGTATGCTGAAAAATAATAAATAAATGAATATTTATTCATTATTATATTCTGAATATTAATATCAACTAATTTAATTAAAGGATAAAAAACTTACTTCATGAGTGGAGCAATGTCGGAAGACTTAACTTTTCCCCAATTTCTTATCATACCAGGCGTATGACCTATACCAACAATACCTACAACTCTGGCAGGCATAATACCATCAGATGTTTGAAAAAGTCTTGATGCAGCCAGTTGTAGAGAATGGGTCAGAAAGAGGTCTCGTTCATTAACAAAAGTTTCACCAAGTGATGGAAATTTTGCTGTCATATCAGCCAATAATTTCTCTAATAAATCTCGATGTTTACAGCGTTCGACATCTTCTTTAGTAATTGGATCTTTTGTTCTTAATAATTTCCAAAATAAAACTATTGTTTGCCACCAGGTAAGAGAATGCAAAGCTCGATGTAATGTTATATTTATTGGACGATCGCCAAGATGAACTAAACAGTTTGGTATTCGTTTAGCCTGTGAAAACACAAATGTATAGTATTACTTATTCAAACTATTTGAGTTGTATTTTAATATATGAAAAATATGAATTAAATATACCTCTAAAAAGGCGCGACGAAATTCGCCTCCCGGTGCCATTCCTAGTTGTTTTGTTACATTAGCTGACATATTCAATAGAAGAATGTAAATCAAACCGTTAAAAAAGCCATTTTGCTTTATCAAAAGTCTGATTTTATCTGTAATTATCGAAACACCAAATAGTATTAATTTAATAATAATTTAAAAATTAATAGAAATACTTACGCAGATTAAGATTTTTTGCTTCTTCTAGAATAGTCTTTTCATCCAATTGTAACACGTGTACTCGAGCTTTACATAACTCAATCATGACAATGTGAGGTTGAACTGCTTGAATTATCTAAAAATTAATTGAAAGTAATTAAGAATTTGTTTCTTAAATTAAAAAAAAATTTATCTCAAAATATTCATCAATTACCAACGATACATCATCTTGACTCTCTTTACTAAAATGAGCAGTTCCTATAAGATAAACTTTAGCACCTTCAGGAGTAGTAAGCAGAGTAACAGTGTCTGGCAATCTATCATCAATTGTAGGATCATACTGTCGAGGTTGTCCTATAGGTCGTTCAATTGATAAATCATCATGAATAGCATTGGCATTATTATGATCACTATCAACTTCAAGAACAGCTTCTAAAATTAATAAGTGCTTATCATTTCAACATAAACAATGGCTTTTTGTAATTTGTGTCAAATAAATTTTCACTATTTTTCCACCTTTTACTTTAACTACTTTTCGTTTATTTCGGGAATAAGCAGGCATTTTGTACTCTAAAGTTGATGATTTTAAACTAAATTATTTGACAAAAAATTTATCAATACGTTCTAAATACTCTAATTTGATAAAATGTACTAATATGGATGTCGAGAAACCTCACAAGTTACCTGCACTTGAAGTTATATCCTTTCTTTCATGGACAATGAAAAAATAATAACATAAAAAATGATGCAATATAAAGATAGATAAATAAGAAAAGAAATAATGTAGAAATTAAAACATCAGTTGTTCAGAAATAAAATTATTAAAACCGTGTCAAAAAAAAATTTGTTTTGAATACTAACGTTTCGGTTTTTCTGTAGTGGATTTTTCCATGGTATTTTCGTTTTCAAGAAGTATGAGTGATTTATCAGTATCTGGTTGAGATTTAATTAGTGATAAATGTAATTGCTGAACACCTTGACCACTCATTTGATTTTTTTTCAATTCGGTTGGTTCCATCATTAAAAAATACTAGTAAAATAGAACAGGTCACCTGTAAAAAAGTTAATATTAATAAAATTAATTTAAATGAGATTGATTTAGAAAATTAAAATATTTAAAATACATGAAATTGAATCTCCAATATGTTACTTTTTCAATCGAATTTACAGCTTTTATAAGTTTCAATTGCAAATTATGAGTGTAATTTATAAAAGAAGGATAAAAAACATAATAAATTTGCAACTAAGATTATCATTCACTAATGAAAATTTCGAAAAATTAACGAAGTTATTGATGTTAAATAAATAAGCACGTTCTTCTAAAAATGATGTCAAATGAATAGTTTAGTTTTATAAACATAGGTGACACAGAAAACTCTCTATAAAAATAATCATAGTGCTTCGAAAACTCCCCAGGTTCTTCACAACTATAACTATATGAGGTAAATTGATTCTATCAATTGTAACTTGTATAATTTATCAATTATGCTCTTTTGAAACTACAATATTATCCTCGAACTACAATGCGACAAAAATTTAGGTGCAGCTTGATCATGTAGACACGTGGAACATTAGTTATTTAGGCGGGAAATTATAAAAATTACATGATAGTTATTAATGTGATTTCTCATATTATTTGATTACGGAAGTAATAAAAAATAGAATAAACTTGGAACAGGAAATTTAAACAAAAAACATTGAAAAAAAACAAACGTCAAACCATATGGAAAACAAGATATGTATGGCGTTCAGTTTGTATGTACATGGAAGATTAAAAGTGATTGATTACATTACATAATTCATACTTACTAATAATTACTCGAGAACATAATTAAAAAAAGTTTAAAAAATAAAAATATTCTTTCCACTAAGTGCTACTATTTTTGCTTGTGTAAAGTTGTTTATTGGTTATCGACACAGTTAATTTTGTGGTGTTTCGGTAGAACCTAAAGTCTCCCTCTGTAGTTTTAATCATCAACCATTTCACTTCACCGCGGAAATTTAAAAATGAAAGAAATTATAACTTTTTACAGACACTTTTATATTTCATAAAATTATTTTTTATTTGAGTTCATGAATAAGATTATATAATATTATTAATAAAACAGAAAAATATTATTACACAGTCTGTAATTGTCGATAATAGAAAATATTATTAAATATATTCAACCTAAAATGACTAGTAGTAAGGTTATAGCATTTGAACACTGTGCCGGCTGACCTCGTTTGTTTTGCTACCATCTACAAGTGTGGTTTAGTTCAAACTTTTTGATAAAGTTATTAACAAAAAGTTTTATTATTCCATAAATGACATGAGTGATTACATTTAAAATATTAGGATAATTTAAATACTCTAAAAATAATGGGCGTTGCATATGCTAAGGTAAAAGTTTTAATCATTTTATGGCATAACCTGCAATAAAAGATAACTACATCTTTTTTTAACACTTTGATTAAGCTTGAAACAACGTAATTTCTATTAATAATTGAGAACTTCTGAGAAATGATTAATTAGAGCATCTTCATACACTCATAATGTCTAATTTTACTACTATTCTAGTGAAAGCTGGACAAAATTGACTTCAATAATCACTGTGGTTAAAAATACTCTTATTTTTTTCCTCAACGTAGCCTTGAGAATCAATCAATTTTTTTAAAATTATTCATTCATTATGTAATGGTTCACTTAGAATATAATACAACCAATTATTTGTCGAAAATTACAATATATGAAATGATTATTCTTTATCAGTTGATGAATTATCTATTAATGAAATGTATTTTTTATCCAGGAGCCTGAAAAATTCAAAGACTATGGGATACCTTCATCAGAATCACACTCTTCAGCTATGAAGGGACAAAAATCATCACCTTCACAAGTTAGAACGAATATCAAAAATTTATTTTTCATTTCAACAAATTATTTCAATGAATTCATATTTTTAGGCTTCTACTTATTCAAAGCATTCAGATAGCCCCACAACTGCAGTATATACGATAGATTTATTTCAACCAGTTAGAGTAGACAAAATTCATATAGATGGCCTGAAACGTACAAAAGATGATATTATCAAAGCCCAAGTTCATGATTTATTTAAAGCAAAAGACTTTCATCAGGTAATTGATCATACTCAGAGAGTTAGATCGAAATTGGAGGCATTGGGATGCTTTAAGAAAATTGGCGTTAGTATTGATACGAGTAAAGGACCAGATGCAACGCCCGAAGGTGTTGAAGTTACATTTAATGTGAAGGAAATGAGTAGAATGAGTGGTGGAATCAGCACAATGGTAGGAAATAATGAAGGATCACTTCTAATTCAAGCTAGAGCACCGAATATTTTTGGACGAGGCGAACGATTACAAATGGAATATTCATATGGATCAAGAAATTCGACGAATTTTAATGTATCAGCAATGAAACCATTAGTGGATAATTGGTTGCATACAGTGTAAGATAAATTTAAATTTTTGAAAATCTTAACATGTTTAATTTCTTTATGTTGAAAATGAATAAAATTAATTAATAATTTTAATTTTTTTAGACTTACCACTAGTGTATTCAGTACTACAACAGACGTTCCATGGTCGGGATATAAGGAAAAAGATAATGGATTATTATTTGACGTAGAAATAACTCCTGGTGCTTTAAAACACAATTTTCAATACGAAGCTACTTACAGACATATCAGTGCTGCTAAACAAGCTTCTTTTCGTGTTCGTGAACAATGTGGTCCTAATTTAAAGTCTGCCTTAAGGCATATATGTTCAATTGACAAAAGAGACGACACCATATTTCCAACTGGTGGAAGTCATGTTCAGTTTACTACAGAATTAGCTGGTCTTGGTGGTGATACCGGATTCATGAAGTATGAATTTGGTCTTCAAAGCAATTGGACATTGAAGGATCTGTTTGTAAGTAGAAAAAATATTCAATTAATTTTAAATAATATAACATCATCTAATTTTACATTATTTGTTCGGCAGACTTTTCAAATTGGTGCACAAGCAGGCATTCTACGAGAGATCAATAATGATTTAGAAATAAATATAGCTGATCATTTTTTCCTTGGTGGACCAATGAATGTTCGTGGCTTTGCACGAAGAGGTTGTGGACCGCGTCATGATGGTAATGCGTTAGGAGGTAATACATTCTGGGCTTTGGCTCTGCACCTTTATTCACCGCTTCCATTTAGGCCTGGAAAAAATAGTTTTGGAGAATTATTTAGATTACATGGTTTCGTGAATGGTGGAAATTTAGGAAACATATCTCTTCGTAAAAGTATGTACTATTATTTCTACCGACATATTCTTATAAAAATAAGCTTATGACTACAATTATGTTTAATTTTTAGATGATCTTTCCGAAAGTTTAAAAATATTTACTGATAATGTTCGATGGTCAGCTGGTGCTGGAATAGCCATGAGGCTCGGCGGAATAGCGAGAATAGAATTAAATCTTGTCATGCCTTTAGCAATGGCTAGAAGTGACGTATTTCAGCAATATCAATTTGGAGTTGGTATTCAATACTTGTAAATTATTATCGCTACCAGATAGTGCATGAGTTTAAATTGTAAATTAAATTGAAAAACAATTCCAATTGTGTCATCCTTGTTTGGCTATTCGACACATTTTTTAGTTTTCGTTAAAAATATATTCTTATGTATAAATCTTCAAATAAAGTACAATTAAAATAACTTTTTGTTTAACAGAATTGTTAAATAAATAATTTAGAAGCTTATAGAAAATTTTTTGAATAATTTTATTTTTCCTTGAGACATAAATATGTTAATATTAATTAAATATTCAATAACATAACTTGGTGCCTTTTCTTTTGCATAAACAAACTGTCGTAAGAAAACCCATGAGACACGCAACACTGAATTCGAGGAATTTATCATGTAAATAGTTGAAATGTTCTAACATTATTGCATTATAGGTTAACATATGTATGGCAATCTAGATAAATCTTTTGTTCAGACAAAAAGCAAACAGGTACATAGAGTTTACAAATTGCAAACCATTATCGGGTAAGTTCTAGGATTTTCGATAGCATGTGAAAGAAGAGTTCGAAATCCATTGGAACGTTTTGCTACTGCGCAGAACGATGACTTGAGCGTTGAGCCCAACAGCGCCACTCCAAGCCACACTTCATTTATTTACGAGTTAAAAATGGCTGCTTAAAAGTGATCTCTGATAAATTGTTAAAAAAATGTGTTATTTAACGATGGAATCTCCAAAAATTATTGTGCGTAATAATCTAGAACAAGACATTATCAAAGTGCGACCTGTTTTGAACTGTGAAATTGGAAGAAAGCGAAAAGATTTACCTTCCACAAAGATCAACAACTGGCGTCATAATTGTCACGTTTGTAAAAGTTGGCCTTGTCGTAAGTATGTGTTAGTTAATATAGATAAATCAACGTCATCCATGAATTAGTAAAAGTTATTTTGATTTTGAATTCTTTATCTTATATCAAAAAATTTCGTCTGTAATTAAAGCATCATTTACTGTTTATTGACCTACTAACGAAGTTCTATTAGCCATGATGGAATTTAGAACGCACAACAATTTATTTACGTTGCATGATTTTTTTTCACTTGGAAAATATTCTAGACTTAAGAGTATTAGTAGAATGACAAGAAGGTCATAGTTTATACTTTATCTTACGTTAATTTATAATTTTGTTTATATCTTATGGTCAGAGAATAAGAAATTGTATTGTTTCAGTGACATTTAAAAAAGGAGCTACAAGAAGAATTTGTAGAAATTTTTTAATCTGTTGATTCAATTTATTGAGCATGGAAAATTCTCCAAGGAGATCTCTACCACTGAACGTTTCTGACTTGTTTTTCGGAGCATTTTATCCGCCCGTATCCAATTTTGTACACACAGGTCAGAAAATATCGACCCAAAATAGGAAAACTTCATCTAAGAGTGCATCATCCGATATGAATCACTCAGAAAAAATGGATAGCTCTATTGAAGACAGCGCTACTGAACAAGCCAGCAAGAGCACATTCTTTCAGGGTATAGTTGGTGTTTTCGATTCAATTACCAATATGGTCTCTAAAATATCGAATTATACCAATATATTAAGTAATACGTTATCTGTAACGGTTGTACCTAATGACGATATAGTCTCTTCCGAATTCCTTCTACAAAATTTGACGGTAAATAATCAAGATTTGTCATCAAGTAAAGATAATTTGGCTAAGATGTTTGGAAACACGACGAATAAAAGTATGTGTGACGTCAACAATCATGTTACACAAGTTTTTACAACACACCAATTCAAAAATCTTAACCTTGTAAATACAGACAATACTATATCAAGCGAAAGGATAGATTTTATACATGATGAAGAACATTATAAAAATTTAATTAAGGAAAAAAATGATTTAGAATTGGCAATTGAAGAGAGTTTAAAACACATGAAAAATTATAATTCATATGATGAAACGGATTCAAACTTTTCTAATCTGGGTAAAAATCATTTGAACGTATTAACAAATAACGACAAAATGTTAATGAATTCAGAAAATATTATATCTGAAAACAAGTCTGATACAGAACAGTGGATAGAACTTGATAATCTAGTCGATGAAGACAAAGATGAGAAAGTATTTTCAAAAAAGCCAAGATCATTGAAAATGAGAAAAAAGTCTAATATTGCTGCTCGCTATCGGGGTAAAGGCCGCAATAGAATTCAACTTAGAAAGTCCGGAGTGAGCCAATTGAAGCACAGAAAAGAGCGGATAAAGCAAAATATTTATTCAAATATTCAAGAAGATCTGAATGTATGGGAAAAAGAACAAAATGATTCATCCGAAGAACAATCCAGTATTATTTCGTCATCAACTGATGATGAGAACCAGAATAATGATGATTATGTATGTGATATGAAGATAGAGTATCCTACCCTGATTGAATCATTTAGATTAGGAGATTCATTATCGATCAATGATAAAGAAGAGGAGAAATCCTTGGAGAATCTAACACATTCTTGTGATGAATCTGATTCAACTTTTAGTAGCGATTCTCGGCGTTTATCTCAATGCTCCGTTGAATCTGATGATAGCTGTTTTATCGTATTTGAAGATGAATCTGCAGACGAAGATGATGATGAATCAACAGACGAAGAAGACAGTAAATCAACAGATTACAGCGATGATGATTCTACAGACTCAGACTCAGACTCAGACAATCAAGATGAAGTTGATGGAGGATTAAAACCTGGCCTACAGGTTAATTTTCTATTGTTTACATAATATAGTCCTCTATTTAATTTATAACATTAAAAACAACTTAATATTTTATATTATCTTAAAGTTTTTAATGATTCCGAGAATGTTTTAAAATAAGACAATTACTCATTAATCATGCCATAAATTTAATGATTATAATTAACCGACTTTTTTGACCTACTTTCTTATCTATCTACAAAGCATTCTAATCAAAATATATTTTTCTTCAACAGGTTCGTTTTAATCTAAAGCCGACTATTCATACTATAATCAAGTGGGACTACGCATATCGTGCAGCAAGAAAAGGACCTTGGGAAGAATTCGCACGGGACCGGGAAAGATTTTGGGGTAGAATACGTGGTATGGGTAAAATCATTGAGCCTATTTTGAAAAAAGAACATAGAGATTGTATATGGGAAAATCGATTTGCCATTAAAGATGAATCAATGTAAATTTTAAATCAAGATGTAATATTATAGGAGGAGAACGCAAAAGACTTCAACTCGCATAATTAATGAAATTCATAACTATCGAATAATTTTTTAAAACCAAATGATTTTTAAAAAAACGAATAGTATATTAAAAGATTCTAAAAAAAATTCGAATATCAATTAGAATAATTATATAACTAATTTATTGTTACTGCATTTTATCAAAAAGTTAATATTGAAAAGATTTTATATTAATGTTGTGTTCATTAGCATTATTTATTGTTAATATAATTTTTTTTCAATTTTTAACTGATATAGTGCAATAACTATTGAATTCTCATTTATTTGAGTTATTTGTCATTTTAAAAACTAATTTGAGAAACCAACTACCAATTGATCTGATTTTACTCAATGTTATTTCATCTCGATCAGTCTTCTACTGAGATTCAATCTGAAAGCTCGACAAAAAAGAATATGGTGAACATGAATATTTATATCGAATTTGAATTAAATTTCTCTTAGTAAATTTCGCAATCGATAAAAGTAAATTTATTTATATTATTATAGTATTAGATTGATTTATCAAAACATAAGTTTTAAGTAATTACAACATAAATTATACTATTTATTAGGCTATAACAATGCAAAAATTGATGAATTATCAATATTGATTTATTCATGCATTAATTTTTACGCTTAAAAAAAATGCAAAATTTCTCTCTAATTAAGTATTGAAAAATGTTTCAATTTTATGTTAACCAAAATTTTTTCTAAATTAGGTAAGAATGTGTGTTAATCATTATCCAACAATTATGATTATTGTATTTTATTATATTCGTGGTTTTAAATTATGTTTAGTTTCATCTGCACCATATTCGCTTGAAACTGTATAAATATAATATAAAATCGATTCCTAGATTAAAAGTAATTTATACGATAGATGTTGATATGTATTATATATTGTATATTATGTAATGGTATGAGATCAGTGAAAGAGTTGTGAAGTGTGTGCCTCAGTAACCGATTTTTTAAATCAACTGTTTTTTGTACCTCTACAATCTACTATTCGGACGCATTTCATACTAGTAGAAGTTTTAAATCAATTTATCAGACGTTAAAAAGTAATCAGCCTTGTATGAAAAATATTTATGAAATTTATTTTACCATTCTATAGCCTGGATAAACTCTTTCGTTAAAAATTTCATTTGATTCTTTTATCATTGTATGCATAAATTAATAATAAAGCTATTACATTATTAACTGAAGTTTATTCATTATTTTGAACTTTTCATACCGGAAAGGATAAATTTATTATAATCTGTGTCTACTTAGTTGTAGTTATAATCCTAAATGACAAATATAAAATTAAGTGCGACTTCCTTGATAATATGTTTTCCATTTTAAAACATCTATGGAAGTCTCCAGGGCCTTTACGGATGTATTTATATAACTTAAACCATGTCAAGGGTATATTGCATGAACATGTAAGTACACCATGAGAAGGCGCAGATTCTTGAAAACGTTAATCACTGCCTTGCATACATATTTTATCTTTTTAATGAATGACAACTACTTATCTTGGGAATATTCGTTATTGTCGTAAAATTATTGTTTAAGAACAGTGTGCCCGTTTAAATAATTGTACTAATAATATTCCGCTTCTCCACGCGCACGTTTACCCCAACCAATTATTGAACATGATTACGAAAGAAATCGAATCTACTCAGTGATCACCGGAAATCTTAGTTGTTGACGAGGAACAAGCATTATTTCTTCAGTGAACAAGGATGTTAAGTAAATATCTATCAACGTTAATCGATTTCTGACATTATTTTTATCTTTTCCAGTCATTTTATTTGAAAGAGAAAATACTTATTTTCGAAAGGAAAAGTTTTTTTACGGAAAAGATCCGTTTATTACGAATAATTTTTAGATAATCTATAAATAAAGAAAGTAGTGATGAATAATCATGAAAATAAAAAATACAACTATTTAAGTTTTAGATAAAAATTCTAATGAGCTTGAATTGGTTGGTTTTTTCCGTGAAATTTTATTAAAAGAAAATTTTTTTAAAATTGTTACGAAATGATTGAAATATAAAATTTATCAAAGACATCTATTCTCACACCTTAGTACTTATAATTGATTATTTCATCGTTTTCTATTTAAGTGGTAGAGAATAGAATATGAAGCAAATATGAATAAAATTAAAATAAATAAATATCGAAATAAAAAATATGGCATTGTTTTCAAGTAAAGTAAATAAAAAAAGTTGGAGAACTTGAGGTGGGCGACCGGTGGAAACCGGAAGAGGATGGGCATGGCTTTAATTGCCTTATACGAATAACTGACCACGCTCTGGTGTCGTAATGCACGTAATATCGTCGTTACGGCTGTCGATTAACACATTGACACTTCAGCGAATGAGTTACGACGACTGACTCATGCTTTGAATAACTTTTTTGTACTATCAATAGTATAAGATTGTTGTCAGTGATAGTTCATTTTACCATTATTTGTTAAGCTAGTGGTCAAGGACCAAGATTTGTATATTTGATATGCTCATACTGATAAATGGAAATGAATAATGAGACATCATACCTAGGAACAAAGTTGTCTGAAAGCTACATGAGGAAGAGGAAAGGAAGACGATTTTCACCATGAAACATCTATTACTTAACGCTCGAAATAAAAGCCACTGGTCTGCTGCCACTTTCTAGTTTAACTGCTGTTGAATTTCGAAGACTACAGAGATCAAGATTTCAGTCTTTTTCAACCTTTTTTTTTTAATATCGCATTGTTCTCATTCTGCTGTCATAAATGACTAATTTAGTAGCTTATCGTGACCTCCTGGAACAAAATGATTCAAAATCAGTTCTGTAATCATAGTTGAAATACATTCAGTAATTTTTTATTATTATCGCAAAATGAACATCTTGTTTTAAAACTATTCCTCAATAAAATCCAAGAAACGCTCTAGTTGTACTTTTTATAAAGTATGTCATAATTTTTTTATAAATATAGAAAATTGATTTGATGAAAAAAGTAGTTCTTGGATTATTTCTTGATTCCGACTATTAAAAATAAGTAGACAGCTACTGTTTTAATTATCAACATCAAGAAAAAAAATCACACAATAATCGTCGAATAGAATTATTCTTATGAATAATTAGGAAAAGTTATTTTTTTTATTTCATGTACCTTAAATTCTCATAACCGACATTTAAAATGATTGTAAGCTCTTCTGTTAACGTAATATCCTCTAGTCGCGTGCGAAAAGACGATACGGTTCTCCAGATGAAAGAAAGAAAAAAAAATTGTTGAGAGAGTAAGAGGGACATGGCACACGAGCAATCGATCGAAGTGCTTTCACCTTTTCACGATCTACTCTGTGTACTCGTAATCTACAAGATTTTAATCTTAATTTATTATATGTCATCTTCGGATCATAAAAATTAATTTTTAATGTATAATCCTCAGTTGGTTGATTCTGAGGAGCGTAACAAGAATCCAAACTCAATCTGAAGAAGATAAAAAAAGCAGTTTAATTAAAGCTTACTTGATGATTCTTTAAAGAGACTCTCCAGGGTTCGAAGCCACACGGTGGATAACTTCAATATTCTTACAAACAAGCGTGACAGACTTTCGCCTTTTCCATGAAACTCATGGTTAATTTTGCATGTAGATTTTTTGAGCTCATCAGTAGCATCTTCTTCTTAGAAAGTATCGTTAAATCTTCAAAATTTCACATTTATAACATTTTTATGTTGTCTAATGTACCTGCAACATCGAGAATCAGATCCTTAATAGTTTGAGGGCTCAAGAGAAATACTGGACCCGGTAGAGCGAGCTCAATTAGAGGGCGAAAGTGATTCACTAAGCGTGGAAGCAATACTATATTTTACACTCTTGTTTTTAATTAATTCTCCAACGTGATTCACAGGACTATGTTTATGATAATGATGCCAACAAAGTATTCTTTTTAGCATATTTTTTTCATCTTTAATAAACATCCATCAACCTACATCAAGATAAACGTGATGGATTCATTTGCATTATTGTGATTGATTTTTTAATTGGTTTTTCTTGGTAAAAGATGAAAACAATTGATGTTGAAACTAATTAAGAAAGTGGGCAGATTATAAACTTATAGGTTTTATAACTGTATTTGAAATGAAAGCTCCAAGTTTACAATTAATAGGACTTTTTGCTGATAGATAACTAATTTTTGTGATATTTTTTCAATATATTTAGCACGATTCTGCTGACAATGATAATACTCTCTGGTAACCGTCACGGTGTTTGGAGAGGTGGATAAGACCACTACAGGCCTGGTCTCTGAATAACGAGTGGGGGATTTCCCTGCAAAGGACCCCGCCCGGTGTTCTCCTATAAAACCTGGACACAAAGATCACTCTTAACCAGTCTTAATCGCTGTTTTCAGATATTCTAACGCTCGTCTAAGCGGTTTCTTCTAACAATAATTGTTCTACTTTATATTTACTCCGTTTTTAAAAAAAATCATCATGAAATATTTGGCTATTGCAGTTTTACTTGCTGCGGCAGTTGTTGCCGAGGAGAAACCGGAAGACGAGCGACCAAAAACTTACAGACGACTTATTCCTGCTGATGTTCTACGTGGTAAGTTTATATTTGACAATATCTGAAAATAAAATTAATATATGTAATACTAGTTTGCAAATAATCAATTACTGGCTTAATTGGACATAAACACTACAAACCTGGTTTAGCATATAAATTTAAATTATTATTCAATAACCATGCTAATTGTAATTGTGTTCTTCCTTGTTAATTAAAATAAATGAAAGGATAGTAATTATTACTTTTCAATTGTTACACAAGTTTTTCAATTGTGACTGATAGTGAAAGTATTCTTATTCAATTTTCTGCTGATCAAGAACTTTGAAAAAAGATTTTCATCACTAGTGATACTGAATAAAAATTATTTTAATAAATAAATCATTACAGATTTCCCTGGCATGTGCTTTGCATCAACGAAATGTGCTACCGTTGAACCAGGAAAAACTTGGGATCTAACACCTTTCTGTGGACGTTCAACTTGTGTCATTGATGAAGATGATCCATCTCGTCTACTTGAACTTGTTGAAGACTGCGGACCACTGCCTAAAGCCAATCCTAAATGCAAACTTTCGGATAAAACTAACAAAACTGCAAGTTTCCCTGACTGCTGTCCTAAATTCGAATGTGAAGATGGTGCTGTATTGGAATACCCCGAAATCTCAACAGTTCCAACGACAGATCCTGAGAAGAAAGCAGATTCAAAAGCAGCTGAAGCATAAATACACTGAATGGACCAAAATTTTTTTAATTTCTCAAATGATTGGTGCAAGTCTTAGCGTGTTTTCAATTGGAAAGTTTTCTTTTCAAGATTTGATTAAATAGTGTATGATGCTTACTTGCATTCAGCAATTTGTAAATATTTTTTTTTCGATATATTTTCTATACTATGATTTTTAAAACTGTTAAAAAAATTCAGGTCAAAGCTACCTGAGCCATTTGCACAATAATTTTTTACACTTTCGTATTGACATAAAATAAAATATTTTTTTAATCCAATAAAAAAACTGAAATACAAATTTGTTTGCACGTAAACATAAGCACATTAATGTTCGCGGCATACAGTTAATTATAAACAATTTGTGATTTATAATTATAATTGAATGATATATTAATAATACTTATTTAATAATAATTGTTGTTATTTTTTTTTCATAGTTACCTACAGCGATTTTATCTAAGTTTTAATAAAAAATTAAAAATAATAACAGTGAAGATGAAAATTTCATTGACCTGTGAAATTATGATTATTCATAATTAACAATTGTTCTTTTCTTTATTAAATCATTTGCAATAATCTACTCTTCTATTTTAAACGGAAATCATTAAGTACTATGCAATCAAATGCGGACAAATATTTTTTTTTGTAACATCCAAACAATAGAAATAAACACTTCGATGCTTATCGAAAAAGTCATTTCAGGAAGTACAGTGGTTAAAACGGAAATGAATGCATTGAATTATTTTAAATTTCGTATAATATTCTCACGCAACTATCTTTTGAAGCATTGGTTAAATTGGATGAATTGTCATGCTTTGTACGTTTGTACTATAAAAGAGTAGATTGGAAATAGAACAACAGAAAAAAATTGTAAAGGCCAATTATTGAAGGTTCAGTGACAAAAAAAAGCCGAACAAGACAATGTAGTTTACCGTAACTACAAAAACAAAAAATAATCCGTCATGCCTCTAAACTTGAAATGCATTCACCAGTTACCTGAATTACCTGTTGACCAATGACGACTTCTGCATATAATTATGTGTAATCTCTATACTTTCATTACATTGCCTACAATGCATATTCAATGAAGATGAGATTACATACATTTTCAGATTAATGTAAATGTATTATACGCGAATAAATAAAATAAATTAGATACAGTTATATTTGATAAATGCCCTCGACTTACTTTATTATTCTAGTAAATAAAAATTCTAGATTAATTGGATTGAGCAACAGATAATTGAATAATGCCCGAAATTGAGTTAAATGAGTTAAACGATTTATGTGCAGTCGTTGATCGTATTTATTTTTTGCTCTAGTAGTTAAGTATATCAATGACTTATGAGTCACGTAGAGAAGCAAAGATTTGAAATAAAGCTTACCTCCTGGACAAACGACAGATATACATATGATGTCACATCGTTTTGTGTGAAAGTGTTTTATATATCGATAAATATCGCGAAATCGTCCAAGCATATTTCAAGAGAAGGAATGGGGCCAAGTAATTGCCATGAGTAGGAGTCCATCGCACCTTTTCTTTTGCTTCTATAACACCTTTCTCTCTGCCACTAGACAACATGTTAATATTTTTTATCTGATATACAATTGTGTGCTGGTGTACTTACGTATGCGAATATATGGCTATATAAAAATAACGGGCGAAAGTAAGGAAGAAGTTTAAGAATCATAACGTCGGCACTTTGGTCAAATGTTGAATCGTCAAAGAGAGAAATTCACAAGTGTTCAACGATGCAGACGAATTGAACCAAGTGTACCATTCTCTTCAAATATAATTTTGTCAATATCAATTGTTTTAATTCAATTTTTTTTAGTTCTTCAGTGTATACTGATGCATTTGACAGTTTACTATTCACTTATGGGTGGACCAGTTTCCTTTTTCGATCGTCACACTTGTTTCAATACCACACCTACTTTTTCAATGTAAACCAGTGAATATATAATACTTACTTGCTCTCTGACTGTGCGAAGGTTATTTAGTTGATCGAATTACAATTGACTCTTCATCATGACTATTTTTTATCCTTTATTTATTGACATGATGACTTTTTCTACAATAATAAATAACATTATTCATTAAATTTTCTTATATTTCGCCTTTTCAAGATCTCATTATAGTGAGATCTTGTAGGATAATGCTTATTTGCATTAAAATGTAGGATAATTTATAAACAATGATTACTCACTACTTTAAAAGCAATTTTTTCTACATAAGTTTTCGAGTAATTAATAAAATTCATAACATTGATAATAATGTTCTTGCATAAATACTGTTGAATAATCTCATACTTTATTTCCGTTTGTTGATTTACCTCAATATTTTACTTTTTTTGCTTATTCAAGAACAAAAAAATAAGAAAAAAAGTAACATTGACTTTAACAATAGTGATAATCATTATAATTGATCTATTAGTCATGTAATTAAGGTTACTTTTATTATTTTACAATAAAAAATTAATATTATTCCAACAAAGTAATAAGAAATAGAAATCAGTTAACAAGATTGATTTTTTACCAATAGATCCATTCACGTTTATGAACACTCATTAAAGTTGCTCAACTAATAATTTTCTAATAGTAAATTAAGTAGTTTCTTACAATATTTGTTTTCTTTTCCTAATTATGATTTTTTAATTTGATTAAATGCAGTGTAAAAGAAAGCCTTCTAACTCGAAAGAAATCGAATGCTTCTAGAACATACTACTCGTTCTTTATCACTATTTCATTGAGGTTATATTCAACAATGAATAGATTATATTTTTTTTACATGCATATGCTTCAATAGATTTTTACTTAATTACACAAAAAGCTACAAAACAACTTTCAATAAAAATAATTAACATAATTTTCTGGTTTAGATTTTTTTTAGTTTCAATTTTACATTCTCATATATTAAGAATACTGTAATTGAATTTTAACTAATCGATATTCTGATGATTAATAATAAGTTTTAATTAACGGTTGTCTTAAAGTTTTATGTAAGTTGCATGTAAAAAATTGAAAAGTGATACTTCAAAGACTGTCAGAGAAATCGGATGTTTCAAATTAAAAATCTGACATTAGAATGATTAAATTTCTGTAAACTAGCCCATATATGAAACTTGATACCGGAAGTCGTCATTGAAAACTGCCCAGCCGACCACTTGCGCTCTCTCTGTTCTTTATACTGAACAAGCAAATTTCTCGAACGTTGGTAATTTTATACTAGAACTGTCTCACAATCTGACAATTAGGCCTAAAAGTAAATTATTATCGTAATTGAATTGGAAATATCATCAAAAAACTGGCCGGAATCAGAAGAAAACTTTGTGAACTTTTAGATCCAAGTGATATCGCTTCCAGATAAAAATGAGTGAACTTGTTTGGGGAATAAAGAATGGAGATCTCGATCAAGTTCGAGATATTGTAGAGAACAAAGTATGTTTGTCATTATTTTCTTAATTACATTATTAACATTCTCAATATATTCAATGAAGTACCTAGCTCCATATTCTATCAGCTCTATAAAAAAAATAAAATTGCTCATATTTGGATTTTTTTTTACAGAACATAGACGTAAATGCACTGATTGATGGTCGGGTTCCACTTCATTATGCTGCAGATTACGGTCAATATGAAGTAATAAGGTATCTTATGGAGAAGGGTGCTGATGCTAATGTAAGAATTGATTTATTATGACTCAGTGTCTGATGTGTAATTGTACTTGAATTTATCGTGACTTATATTATTTATAGATGGTTGACAAACATGGTATTTCAGTCCTTTTGGCTGCAATTTGGGAGGGTCATACTGATTGTGTTAAATTGTTACTAGAAAAGGGTGCAAGCCCGAACGGAAAAACGCCTGATGGTACGCCCTACGTTGATGCGGCTGAAAAAGATGAGATCAAAAGTCTGCTCCGTGATCTACACTAGCACAAAACCAAAAGAAACAAAAACAAAATATAAAGCTTAAAATTTCGTTACTTTAGAATGTTAATGTTCTTTGTAGGATATGCTGCTATTTGTTATTGATGTTTCTGTATACAATTTAAATAACTATTTTTACGTATTTTATCTAAAAGTGACAACTTTATGCTTGATATTTTATATTAAATATCTTTTATGAAATTGAAAATGTCTGAAAACGTATATGAAGCTTTACAAGGTCTTCGTTTTCCTCTTAGATTATCTATGTCGAGTAATACTATCTAATTACTCGTAAGTGAGTTATTGTACTATTTAACAGACTTTATTACATGATGATGTAGAATATTTAAAACATATTCCATTAATTGGTAGCATTTTGATGATCTTTTGCTTCTGGTGAAATAATCAAGGATTTTATAGAAAAGTCGGTATTTATAAACGCAGTACAAACAATATAAATGCTCTTATGAGAAGTTGTGCCTAATTTTTTGATTTAATTATTTATCTTTAAAATTAAAACTGATTAAGCATGGGTATGATTCGTAAACATTCGAAACAATATATCGTGCATTATGGCTATAAACTTAATTTCTATTTTTAGTAATAAAATATATTTCTAATACATTATTATACTATCAATGCTTTACTTATTATTTTCAAATTTATATTTCATTTTCAACTGATTAAGTATTTACATAAATAAACACCATCTGGATGATATTAACCAAAATTTTTCATTCATTATTACTTACTTATTTCTCATCACTATCGATTAATGTTATAATTTTAATTTTACGCTTTTCAACAGCTGAAATACTCAATAATTTATCAAATAACTTACAGAAGACGTCCACGACAATTAGATGCACCGCATTTACATGGAATTATTTTTCCTGGAATACTGCCCACGTCATAGCTATAATTCCAAGTTAATTCTTGACCTGCTCTGATGAAATTTAATGCAAAAAATGCAACCCATGGAAAACGAACATCATGAGTGTCTACAAAGACATTTTGAACAAAGACATTGGGGTCACAAGAATGCTAAAACATAATAATTGCATTAACACCATACTGAAAATAAATATTCAATTAAATAAATAATACTTACATTTAAGTAACGGCCAATATTTCCAGTAGTTTTAGCATCCATGATGTAGACAGCTTCATCTTCTCCGTAGAAATCTCGGACTGATTTAAATTGAGGTCGTTCAACTTGTGATGGCTCAAGACTAGGCTCAAATCTGCTAGGCTCCCGCCTGCCATTTCCTTTTTCTTCTTCATCACTTCCTTCTTGATCTCCTGATCGTTTATCATTTGATTCTTTTCCAGTACTGCCGTCTTCACTTTTATCTTCAGAGAGATCTGGACCTTCATTTTTTTCATCGCTTTTCTTACGCTTTCTCAGTCTTCGTTTCATAGATGTTGAATCCGAGTCGGTTTCAAGCTTTGAGTATTCAGAGTTGAATGCTTGAATATTAAATTCTTCATCAGAATCATTAGTTTTCTTACGACCAGAAGGAGATCGCTCTTCTTCAATTTTTTTTTCTTTTATTGGCTCATTGAGAGGTAAATCTGGCTCAAGAGCTTCAGCTTCAAAACCCTCTTTGATGCCTTCAACTACTTCAACATAATCAAGCTCCGCCAAGTATTCATCTCCATAATTCTTACCTCCTTCATTAGCTCCTTGTTCAGTCAATAACCTTCCTGCATAAATACAAATAAATGAACCAAGAGGAATGTCATTCAGACATCGAATTCCCCAACCTCTTGGTGCTGTTTTGAACACTTGCAATTTCAAACTTAATGGATGTTGTACAACTCTATTAAGACAAGTTTTAACAGAGCATTTACACCGAGAATTACATTCATAAATACCAGTACTCACTGGCTCTGGGAGTCTCTTATAAACATATCCTACTGCATAATTTGGAACCCGTCCACCAAAGGATGCTCCTTCAATTGTCAGTTGCCAGCATTGACATTTGCTTTTATCTTGACAATCATCCTCACAGTCACAACAAACTAAGAAATCCGGATCAATGTTTAAATGGACTCCTTCTGTAGGTTCTCTTATAGTGCTGTATGTTATAGAATCTGGCAGTGTATGGTCAATTTCATTAACACATGGAATAGGAACATTTTCTACTCCATAACTAAGATCTTTGATATTAACAAAACATTTATCTAATACAAATTCTGCTAAACAATGGACCCAGTGATCAAAGTCGAATAAATCAACAGACATAGTACTATTTGTTCTACGTAAATATTGATGTACTTCCTCCATATTGCGCAACCGAACACCACAAGGTGCTTGATAGAAAATAATCTTTTTACCTTTCGGATATTTACAAAGTTGACGATTCCATCCGCACAGCAAAGGAATAGATAAAGGAGAGTAACCTTTCAAATCTTCCGGTGTGAAAGAAATTCCTTTAATACAATCAGAACCACATTTATGTGGAACGAACTTACGAGTTTGGATTTTATTTTGAGTTTGATAATAAACTATACTGTGAGAAGGCTTGGTTTCAGGGTTAGCTAAATAGTTAGGGATGTCAGTGGCACTGGAACGTTTAGCTGTACTCTTCTTAGCAACAGCACGAGATTGTGTTGGCTGAGTTGAAGTTGATGAACCCATATCTTTTGAAACTGGAATAGACTTTTGTACTTGAATACTACTTCCTCCTAAATCAGAGTCAAGTTCTCCAGTAGCTGAAGTATATTCTACGTATGGTAAATTATTTTTGTTCATTGTACTGGTCAAACGATGACGACTTGGAGTATTTACAGAGGCATGAACACCTTGTTGACGAGAATTAGCTTTTAATAACTCAAGATAAAGTGGTCCAAGTCTTGTAGAGCCTCTGTAAATCCATTCAGTTCTTCCATCAGCATCGAAATGCATTTGAACAAGGCTGGCATCAACCTGAATAACTTTAGCAATCCACCATTTGCCATTCCATTCAGTTTTCACTACTTGATCCTTTTGTAATTTGACCATTGGACGTTCTGGATAATTTTCGAGATATTTTTTAACAAAATCTCGTGATTCGATAGGAATATCTTCCCAAACACGAGGAGAGCTTTCACTTACAACAAAAATATATTTATGAGAAACATATTGTGCGTACCCGTCATCGAAAAATATTAAATATCTATATTTATTCGTCGCTTTAGGAGGTTCGGCAATTACTCCACTATAATAATTGCTAGTTTTTATGTCAGTAAAAAGAGCTACAACTCTTGTAGCAACAGGAATAATAACAGAACATTCTTCATGAATTGCTAATTGTTTACCTGAAACTGATTTCGTCTGATTATTATATCGTTTCAATAAATATTTTACTCTGTAAGTCATGGGTGCTCGAGATGTGATTGATAGCACTTTAGCCTTTCTCCAAGGTATCAAAGGATGTTTCATCACCAATACTAAATCCTCTACTTCTGCTGGCTTTCTTATTAATGGACCATTGGGAGGTAAACCATAACTTGTGGAAGTTTTTTCTTTTGGCTCTACAGTCATTACTTCTATTTGACTGTTATCAGGAATCTTTACAGCAACTGGTGGTGTTCTTATTTGTGTTACTTTTTTTGTTGCTACAAGAGGAACAAGTGCATTGTTTTCCACAGGAACATCATCGATTTGAATATCTTCCAGATATTTTATTTCTGGCTTAAAGTGGTCATATAAACTACTTCTTATAGAGTCCATTTGTAAAATCATAGATTTGATTTCGTCATCAATGCTTTTATTAGAACCTAAAATTTTTATTGAATAAAAATTAGTTACTTCGTTGAGTCATATTTAAAAATTATAGTAAAGTATCTTTTATAGCATAAACATTCAATTAATTATTGAATAATCTATTGAATATAAAAATTTTTGAGTAAAAACGAAAATTTTTTCATATCTTAAACTATTTCAGACTTACGATCAATCTCGTCCCAGTGAGTCTTCAGTAAATTATGCGCTTCTTTAACTTGGAAGTCAATATCATATTTTTTGAACACATTAGAAATAGCGCTATCCCAATGTTCTTCTATACTTAATAGCACTTCTTCAGGAATATATTCCTCTGAAAAAAAAGATTGATAGTAAAAATAATAATTAACGTATATTAATTTAAAATCGAACCTTGGCCTTCAGTGCTTGCTTCATAATCCGACTCATCACTATCAGAAATTTCCACTTCCATTGTGTGATCAGGAAATTCGCATTTCAATAAAGGCTTTTTCTCGTATAAAGCTTGAGCTAATTCTTCTTGATGTGTAATAGCATCTTCAAAACATTTTTGACAAATATATCTTCTTTTTTTTTTAGCTGTATTTACTCCATAATAAAAACATGTAAAAATTGGAGCAATTTTCATATTGACGCCAGAAGAACATTTAAAGTTGATACACGTTTTGCTGATTTTCTTAGGCGCTGTTTTTTTCGTTTCATCATCGGAATCTAACTCGATTACTTCTGTCTTTTTTTCTTCAGACATTGTTGACCATGTAAAAAATTATCCTAAAAAATATTCACTTAATTTAAATAAATTAGCTTTTTAATAGAAATCTATTTATTAGAATGTCTAACCTATAAATATAATTTGAAAATACTTACAAGTTTTTTTTAATCAGACATTAAAAATACACAAATACTACAATATGATGTTAATATACAATAAATGATTATTTATAAAAATTTTCAAGATAAAAAAAATTATTATTCCAGTAAAATAAAAAACTAAAATTGATTTCCCGGTCAACTTATGAATGTAAACATATACAAACGTTTCAGCTGATGAATTCTCTTCGGTTATTTTCGAAAACGTTCGGATATTTTCTAATCTAACTTACCATCAATGAATTTACAGAGCTAATTTGAAATGGACAAAGAATACTGTTTTACCTAGAAGCCCAGAAGTGTCTTTTTCGTATACTACCGACATCTTGTGATCAGAGTACCAACTAAAAATTCTCGGCAACAAGACACCGAAAAAGACACTTCTGGGCTTCTAGGTAAGACAGTTTTCTTTGAAACAGATAACTTACCTACAATAAACCTAGTCGAATTTGTTTTTACCGAGAGTAGAAAAGTTAAAATTGTTTATTCTTCAAGTTGGCAATCTTGTAATTTGCTTCTTACAGTCATGAAGAAGGCTAGCCTATGGAAGTTTTCTCAAAACATGTGATTTTTTGGTATACAACAACATAACCTTACAAAATAAATCAAAAGCATTGTTAATAAAAATTATTAAATTGTTATCTATTAAAATTCATCATTTAATTTATTAAATAATAAATAATTATGATGGATAAAATAAGGAGTGAAGATTCCGACCAATCTGATGGCCCCGTAGTTGATAATTTCGAAACAGAGATTGTTTTCAAATGGAAACCAAAGTCTGGACGAATTTGGAAAGAACAGCGAAAGAGGTAGAATTTTGAACTTCTGATTAAAAAGTTATCAATTATTTTTTATTTACTTTGAATTATACTTGTTATGTGAAATTTAATATTTTAAACAATATACTATACAACTAATATTGTAATTTTCTTCATTTTAATAGATTTTCATCGATAATTAAAACAAGAGGTATTCGATTATCTTTTGAACAGAAACAAAAGTTGAGGGAGGATTTAAAGCGTGTTAAAGAACAATCAAAAGCTTTAATTGAACAAAAAAAAGCTGAGAAGGAAGCGCAAAAACAAAGGAGAATTGAAAACCTTAAAAGAGCACAAGAAAATCAAAGGAAAAGTGAAGTTGTACAAGTGGTAAGAAACATAAAAAATTTTATTAATTTCCAATTATCTTTTATAACAAAAAAAATCAGTAATAATATTTTTTTTAGATCAAAAACACTGCAAAAATAAAACGAATGAAAAAGAAACAATTAAGAATGATAGAAAAACGTGATACTGTCAAAACTTCATAAAATTATTCATGTCTTTTTGATAAAAACGTTTTTTATATAAAGAAATAATTCTAAGTTATGTTTTTATATACATTAAGTAGTTAAATTTTTGATTTATCAATTTATCTTTCATTACCTTTTTTTGATTTTAATTTGATAGACCAGCTAAGTATAATAAATTTATTTTATAGTTTTATCAAACTTATATCGGTTTCGATAACCGCTCAGCACCAGCTTTTATTCGCTCTTTAACAAACTGCTGAAGTTCCACACGTAAATTATAATCAGCCTTCCGATTCGCCCACATTGACCTTACCCAGTTTGGTAAATAGCTTTGATTATGTGACAATAAAAATCTATCATCAACTAAAAGAATTGCACCCCAATCGTTTCTATGCCTGATACATCTTCCAAGTGCCTGATTCAAAGCTCTATAAGCTTGCACAGTATACCATTCTTGTCCTTTTAGAAGATTATTTTCTCTATGGTAAAGATCATTGAAATCCACTTTGAGTTTTACAGAAGGATCATTTCTCACAGCATAAGGAATTCCCAGTGTTATAACACATCTAGCTTCATTATCGCTAAAATCTATTCCTTCAGCAATTTTACCTCTAAACACAGCAAAAAGGATAGCTCCTGTGACACCATCTTCATTCTCATCACAAGTACGAATTGTTTCACGATATTCATCCATAACTCCAGCTAACTCAGCATTAACTCGTGGCTCCTGCATCACTTTTTTACATTGAAACAATTTAGTCATTGTTCCATTCTGCCACCATCGATCTGTTAAAGTTTTCATTGCAGTGTACGATGAGAAAAAGCACAAAACTCCATAAGGCACAGTTTCGCATACATCAATGAGAACTTGTCCGACTTCATCTTGAAACTTCCAAGAGTTAACGTTTTGATAAGTTGCTCGTAAAGGAATTTTATTCGGTCCTTGAGATATAGCTTTTATGAAAACTTGCTCCTTCGGTACCACATGATTAGCGTGAAGCATGTTAGGAAACTTGGTACTTAATTCACTGGAAAATGAAGATGTCGGAGAAAGTGTTCCAGATGCAAGGATAATCGATCGTGCAGTTTTTGCTAAAGACGAAAAAATTACTCCAGGATTCATGCATAAAAATTCAAGCATACGAACTCGATGAGTTCGAGGTCCCTGAGTAGGACTGACATAATGAGGATTTTGCTGAAAAAAAAATTGAATATAGTTAACGAGTTGATTCTGGAAAATTAAAAAAAAAAAAAAAACAAAATGACTTACTGATTTTGAATGGACTTTTTCGATTTTTTCTTTAATAAGAGCTCTAAAATTTAATGAATAGTCTTTAGATGTTAACATATCAATGAAGAAAGTTATTTTTTCAAGCTCGCGAATAGTAGTGCTACTTAATGACATCCCTATCTTGTCTTCTTCATTATGGTCGTTAGAGGGTTCTTTAGATTTATTGTGATGTTCAATAGCTTTTGATGCAACTTGTTTGAAATTCCGGTGACTATTATGACTTATGTGATTAATATCCATTAATTCGACTAACTGATTGCCTGACCAATATTTACTTGTCATTGTATCCTTTTGGCCTTCCTATAAAGCAAAATTTAATAAGTTAATCACTGAACAATAATGAGTTTAAATAAAAAAAAAAATACAATAAAAAAAATTAATTACTTGACATTCAAGTTTTATTGATTCAATAAATTTTTGAAAAGCTTCACAATATGCGATTATACCGTGAGTAAAAGAAGCAATTTCATCTTTTTGCGTGTAATAACATCCTTTTTCTAATTGCGTACAGTCTTTTACTATATCCACCAGCTCATCAACTTTGAACGTAGCACTAGCAGAATCTCGACAAATATCTTCAATGTTATGTGCTTCATCAAGAATCACTATTTCATCTTTTAAATTAATCTGCATGCTTCTCCTGATTGATGGATCTATTAAATAATTATATGGACAAAAAACGATTTGTGCTTCAGGCATTAAATCTCTTGCCATGTAATATGGACACGATCCCAATTTTTCACCGAAATTATATAATTCTTCAATATCCCAAGGCGAAGGAATCATTTTATCTAACATTTTATATGAAAGTGAACGCTTTTTAAGATCATTATAAAATGGACATCCAATTTTTTTGAATGGATCCAATAATTCATTGCAAAGTTCTGTTTTATTTCTATTAGATTGTTGAAGACACGTAAAATCTCTGCTACTTAAAATTGTCATTCGTGCATCAGCGTATGCTGTTCTTTTGAGTTCTTTAATCACCTGGGCAATTTGCCTATGAGTTCTAGATCCATAATAAATTGTGGGTATTTTTTTGGGTTCTTCACAAGGTTTTTTAGTTTCAGCCGAGAAATTTTTGTTTTCAATCTGGCAATTTTTGTTCTCCTTTTCAGAAGATTCTTCATGTTCCATATCATAATCTTAAAGAAAAATAATATTATTAGTTATTTCTGTTATTTTTCTTATTAATTTTGATACCTACAACCGAATACATACTTTCACAACATTGATTGACATATTCTTGAAACAAATCTCGATATTGAGCTGAAACAAAAGAAAATTCAATTGAATAAATATATATACATATTTATGTTTACAAGTACATAATGAATTATTATTATTGCTATCTGACAATGACAAAATTTTCAAATATTCAAAGCTTCTATTGAATGATGGATCAATTTGTTTTGTCAACTAATACACAACAAAAATACAATAAAAAAAAGAGTTGAATAGACACTGAGTGCAGCATCAAGGCGAGTGACACAAGCGTCAAAACACGCTTTAGAGCAAATTGAATGAACTCTGTATAGAAAATCCATTTAAAGACATCAATGGCATTGTTAAAAAAGAAGCGAAAGCGAGTGGCCTAATCCTCGAAGTGGTAGGCCAAGCTTTGTAGAAGATAAATGCAATACCAAAACGTCTGCACCTATGACATACCTAGAAGCCTTTTATTAAGAGTAAGTAGAAGCGTGTGTCTGTCATGAGCCATTTGTTCAATTTCGAGCCGAGTCACCAAAGAAATCCAAAGTATCTTCAATGACGCATACTACCGTTAAATGTTTGTGCTGACATTTGTCTATAATCGGATTTTAAGTGGTTCACTAGATATATAAGGTTCCGAGATTGACAATGTTATCGTCTTTCAATGATATAAATAGGTGAAATGTAAGAAATGCTCAAGAGAAAGAGTTGGTTTGAAAAAGGGTAGATTTGAATAGATATTTATATTTAAGGTTGTTGAAGATATGTTAGTATAGAAAATAAGAATAATTTCTCATATGATTTCCATTTAATTAATGTGATAGAATAGTGATAAGTAATAATGAATAGTGAATAATGATTCAGGAGTTCATAAAGTTTATAATTTACAGACTTTAAGATTTAGGATGAAGGTGACAGAAAGCTTAGTAATATTATCAGAATTTGAAAACAAATTACTTATTATATTTAATTAAGTAAGAATGCATTTTACTCAACAATTATTCTATTATCTGGTATGTTAATAATATTTATTTATTTCATAGCATAAAAACTCTGTAAATAGCTTTTTATTCTATAAACTTTTAAAAAAGAATTAATTAGACTTGATAAAAAATAATAGAATTATTTTTGATAATATGAATAATAATTAAATCAGCTTCACGTAATGGGGAAAAATGTTAAAGCATGAATTCCGAAGTTTGTCAAACCTTAGGATTTTATTCAAGATATTTATAAGCTTTTTTCATCTTTTTTACTCAAAAATATCACGAGTTCTTTGAAAAAGAACTATCTTGACAAAATTACATGCCAGTAGTAAATCAATTAGGTAAGTATTTTCCAGCAAAGAAAGGGTAAGGGTAGAAAATTTAATTAAATGGCAGATACCCTATCGAAAGTACTCTGCAGACAAGGGAAGTATGGACGTACGAGAAATTATTACCTCGAATGAGTACACATGCAGCATGACTGGTGTTTCAAGTGCTTTGGTTCTTCAGAGAGTTTATTGGTGATGCAAGGGGACTACTAGGGAAGTTGACAGGAGGATGGTAAAATGAAAGGGTCTACCGATTGCTAAGAGGGACTGAAAAGTAATCGTATGGCTTGCTGATTTCCATGTAAATGATTGAGAGAGAGTGTAGCAGAACAGCTGAAGGTGAGCTGAGCTGAAGTGAGAAACGACGACTAAGTCGAAGACGAGAACAGAACCAATCGGAGTACGGACTTTGAGGGTGTCGTTGCTTAGCAACCAAACACACCCAACACCCGAGGGGAGAAAACCCCTATGGAGGTCTCATCTCGCCAGATACAGTTCGCCACGAAAGTTATCGCACCCTCGAGATTCTGAAACTTAACCGCGTGACCTATCATGTAACTCGGACTCTTGGTTTTAGTAATGCCAATTATTTTTTTTGTTTTTTTATGTTCACAAGTTATATTTAATTTTTTTGAATTTTATTAATAATTTTTATTTAGAAAGTGTTATAAAGAATGATAGTTTCAATAAAAAAAAGTAGTTTTATTGAAAATTAAAAAGATATTCTCTAAAAATAACAGAATAACTTGTTTAAATAAAGTTCTATGTTATTATGAATAGTATTTGAAATAGAAAATATCAAAGCTTGATAAAAAAAAACGATTATATAAAAAAATAAAATATTTCTCCGCCCTCAATATTATCATTCAAAATATTTTGAAGTAGAAACGATTTATCAAACCAATTTATAAGCCATTGATAAAAATCATTTGCAATATAATATTTTCAAACATTTGAATTAATTGAAAAGGATTTTTCAATGTACAAAATAAAAAATTAAACATCCTATTTATTCTTTCAGCAAAAACTTTAAAAACGCCTATAGAAAAATTTTATTATCAAGTATCAAACGAAAGGACATTTGAAAAAAGACTAAGAGTCCTTTTACCAAGCTACATGAAGAATTTTTATCAACTACTTGAGAGTGAAGCTATTGAAGCTATAGTGCATAATCAGCATTGATAATGCACAGATGGTCGAGATAATGAGAAGCAAGAGAGTGCATTGAAAGACTAAAGTTCACTTTCTATGCGTCCTTTCGACAGAGCATGGAACGTTAATTACACACAGAGAGTGAAGGAAATAAGGAGTGAAATGGTGAGGGATAGCGAATGTATTTTAAGAGCAAATGCGCGTCCCTCTGTCTCTTGAGGCCTCTTGGAGCTTTCATGCTTATACACACGTACAAGATCACATACAGGAAGCAAAGAGAAGAGAGAGCAGGAGTAGAAGAGGGTTGCGCATGAAGCTGTTGAGAGGGTGTTATTGATATGGTGGTGTCGAGTCGGCCATCTTGGTGCGGAGAGGAATCCCCGTCCTTGTCCCCTTCATGTGACATTCGTCGAGGCTAACCTAACCTGGTCTGCACCGCCCTGGGCCACCCTTTCATCCAAGCTCAACTCCAGCGGTTGGAGGGATCACAGGGGTTGCTGGTTGTCATGACAACCAACCATTGCCCAACCCCTTGGCCTCCCGGCGCCAATTCGTCTTCACGTTTCACGTACGTTCTCTCAATCCGCTTGCACACGCAAACACGCCTCTTCCTCATTCTCTTCGGCTGAACCCCAAGACAATTCTTTTCCACCCCTGTGTGTATGGTTTTTGCAACGTGACACATTCTGGACAGCAATGAGTAGTCTCATGCTGGTATAAATTGAAACAGATTAAATGCTGGTTCAGGAGAAAATCGATTGAACGTTGTGTATTTGCTTTGTTTCTTCCCAGTTGCAAGATTGTGATTGGAATGAGAAGGATTTACAAGCACAGGATAGCAATGTCAGAATGAAATAAGCAGATGGCTGTGAATCTCACTGTTATATGTACGTATAGACCTTAGGATGCTATTTAATATACTTTCTGCAGTTCTCTCGATTCTTCGCGCTCTAATGAATTGGAATATGTTACGTAATATCATTCGTTATGCCCCACTACACTTTTCTCCCTCATGAAAGAGCTATAATAGGTGCTGAAAACCGGAAATTTAAAATATGTATTCTTTTTCATTGAATTCTGTATTTAAAGTTGGCTATTAAATAGATATTTACATATCTGAAGAATATCAATGTCAAGATTTAAAGATTTTGTTCTTAAACTCGAAAAAATTTATTTATTTATTTCAGTCATAAAAAAATTAATGATCAAATTATGAGCTTTTTTACATTTTTTTCAGTAATTAAATGACAAATATTTTTCAATTTTTTTATTTAAAATTGAACAAAATTATTCAGGATTATTTTTGTTCATTTTTTATAATATCGAATTAAAAAAAAACAAACAAGAGAATGTTGTTGAATAAAAATGTTGGTGATTTATTAAAAATATCAGTAAAAAGCCACAAACAATGAGAAATTCATGAGAATTTCATGTACTTGATATATGGTTATATAGAGGAAGAGGTTTATGTGAATGAAAATTCTCCCATTTAACCGTTGAGTTATGTTTTGTATTGAACAAGATCTCCACACGTTACGCAGCATTATATTTTGAGAGTTTGGAGATTATGGGCCTGTCAGAGAGCTAATAACTGGTCTTAGACCCTCGGGGCTGACGCACACATCTGATACCAAGGCAAAGACCTCTTTACAATGTTCGTATTAAATACTAATCGTAATGCCGAATATACTGGTATACTCTTTTTTATCGTGTGACGTGTATAATAGTACGATTTCAGTGCAGTGTTATGAGATCTTCAAAGGGACCGCTTAAGATAGAAATGAAGAATGAATGCCGACAAACGTGCATGCTAATGCAAAAAACGAATAATTTCAATCGAATTTGCAGACATTAAAATATTCATACCAACACACATAATATTTCTCAGCATACCTTATATTTCAGTAAAATGCAACTTTGATCGGAGATTTAATTATTGTATTTGTTTTATTAACTATTGACTCTGATCAGTGTGGCCATGTTGACAACCACTCCAATTTACCATAGGATATTTTTACATCCATTATTTTTAGGTGAATAGAAGCAAAAGCGAATTGGGGATGGAAGTAAATGAATATGGAAAGAACCAAGGGGTGTGCTTGGGATGATACAGGATTCTACTCGTTGAATCCGATAGCATTTTATCCCTCGTGGGAGTTAGCATCCGAATTTGTTTCCCTTTGGGGTTGGAAAGGATCCTAGGATATTGTCCCTCATGAGATTTAGTAATGAAACCGTTTCGCCACCCCTAAAATCATCCCTTGTGTATAGTGCATGTCGTATTGATGATAGTTGCAATGTCAAGAGACTGTTATGTGGTCTTATATGAAGTTGTTTTAAGAATTGATTATGTACAATAAATATTTTTATGTAGTAGCAGGATTTATTGGTAGCAGGTATTTTGTTATTAGATTTAATAATATATTTTAGAATAAATAAGACTCTCAGGTTAATTTAGATCAGATATATTTTGCAGTCTAAAAGTTATATGTATTCAAGTGCACTACATGTAGCTTAGATTAGAATGTTTGGAACAGTTCAAGATTTTCTAGTAGATATACTTTTTTTAGGCAGACACCATTTTTGACAG